TCTGTTGCAACCCTCAAAATGTATGTGGAGAGGAGGGGAGGGGACGGCGGCCTGGCGCTGTGTTCTAGCCAGGTTTAGCCCTTCCTCTGCCTGTGGACCTGAAGCAGGAGGGAGGCACCCGGAGAGTGAAAGGAGTGGATGGTGGTAAAGGATGATCTAAGTGTATATGAGGGGATATGAAAAGCACTGCAGCTGGAGAGAGCAGTATCTCTCTCCCACCACCGTCATCATTACGCCTCTCTCATCCTCCTTCTACTCCTGTTATCTCACAGAGAGGAGGCATGCCATATGGTTGCAAGAAGCTTCTATTCCGAATGTTTTCTCTTGCAGGGTGGGAGGGATGGCCCAGAATTCACCTCTGTCAATGCGCTCCTTTTTGACGTGCAGAGTGCAAACTTGGACCGTTAGCGTGCAGAGTCTGTATTTGTTTCTGCGCACAAATCCTTCATGCGTCTGCAGAATTTAGAGTATCCGTATCAACAAACATGAACTCCCCCATTTTCATTTTCTTCTGCAAAGAAAAAAGGATAGGAAAGGATAAAGTCGAAGAAGGCAGGAGCACAATGGGGGCGGGGTGGGATGCTGACAAAGTCGATTATGAAGCGTTCCCAAGTTATCTCCTTGGTGCACAGCTCTCCTTGGTAATTAAGAACGTTTTGCTTTTTTACTCCCCAGAAGTTGGGTTGGTTCGGGTAGAACACTATGAATTAATTGTGTTTGACAATGGCGATGAGGGGCCAAATGCAGCATGAAGATAGACAGAAAGTCTTGGGAGGCAGAGTGAAGCTCTGAGGTCCTTGAAGGAAGCTCTGGGCAGTGAGACTGTGACGGTGCAGTGAAGTACTCTGGAGACAGTCGATTGGATGTAATCAGATGTGGCTCTATATCTGATCCTACATCTGTATGTGGATCTTAAACAAGTGATACTGTCGAGGGAGAGACAAAGAGAGATAGCACAGTGGTAAGCTGGGTACAATTTTCTTTCTTCCTGTTCTCTCCAGCTGTGACTGTGCTGCTTTTAGGCCATTTCATGGTAGGGGACCATGAAATAACAGTAAAGAGTCCCTTATTTCAGACTAAAGAGACGTGTTCTCGCTGCCACTTCTCTTCTCATGAGCAAGCACGTTAAAATTCATTCCGTCTCCCCCTACTTCTCTCAGATATGGCTGTAATAGTGCAGCGAGATCAAATGAGAAAACAACATAGTAACTCTGCGGGATGCAAAGCTTATGATGGAGTTACTGAAAGACAGCCTCATATGGATTTACTCTCAATTGACTGCAGCCAGATGTGAGAAAATCTCTGAAATGAAGCTGGGATCATGAATAGCAGCCCTGGACCAATGCCTGGCCTGGAGATTTGATTTGGGCTTTGGCACCACACCAAGCGGAGGGCACTTGATTGCTTTCACTTTGGGAATTGGGGCGCTCGCACCAAACCATTAAACACTGAACGTTAAACCTAGTTCTAGCGTTTTAGCCTGCAGAGACCTGCTATCCTAGTATTCCTCCCTTCTTCTACTCCCTGCACTTGTGTAGCTCAACTCCAGGCTTGATTGTCAGGCTGCCGGGGAGCTCTAGAGGGATAGAGTTGTTGCCAGAAGAAGATGTTCCAATTCCTCTGGGAGCTTTTTTCGCTTCGCTTCCTTCCTTTTCGCATCTGTTAAAGTGAACACCTACGGGAAATTGATTCTTGCCGGTTATTTGTACTGTTTATTTTCTAGTGGAGCTCCCTGATGAGATGTGGAAGCCGCGACACATATTTATTGTTTCTAGCAAAAAAAACCCCCAAAAAACGGAGAATGCTTGCCAAGTATTTTTCTTTTTTTGGGTAAGGTTGGCATTGGTGGTCAGAGGAAAAAGGAGGAGGATAAGAAAGGAGAGTGAGGGTTAGGAAAGGCAGACAGAGAGGAGAAAACTTGGGATGACAGACCCATCACAAGAAGAAGAATAAGGGGACACATGTGAGGAAGTTTTGTCCCGGCTAGAGCTGTTGCAAACTTTTGGGACTTGGGATTTTTCCCCTCCACTGAGTCTCTGTAATGGCTGCCGTTTTGGATTTAGTCAGCAGGCACCGAGTTGGCCAGAGATGCTAACTCTGATCTGCCTCACACACAGTTGGGGAGATGGGATAAAGGCTTCAGAATGAGATGTAGTGAGACAGTGCAGCGCCACAGCCCAGCTCTCCTTTAGGACACTTCTGGCTCCAGTGACTTCCATTATATCCCGGTGTGACTGAAATACTGATTTGTGATAGCGAATGCGGGCGATTAGCTCTCTTATTTTTACTTCTGTCCACATATTAAGGTAATAACGCGTTGAGATTTGTACTTATAAGATCTGAAAGATATGGAGGTTTTCCATGCTTGGTGAGTTTTACAGAATTGATGAAACACTAAAGGCACTTGAAGAGGAGACCCACGGGGCTGATTGTTTTCCTCACTCTGGTCAAGAACCCTGAAACATGTAAAGACCCTCTGAGGCGCTGATGTAAGAAAAATCACTGGACACCAGAGACCATAAACCCCATATTGGCAACACAGCCTGGACCATTACAGGCCATCCATTTCAGAATGAATGATCCCGGCTGTTTGCCACACACACACACACACACGAACCAGTGTGTAAGTCTGTTCAAGTATACCACTCACCCTGCATAGCAAATACACACAGAAGGATACATTAAAATACATCAATCTCTTTAGGAGTGAAAACAATAAATGTTAAAGGGACCTTCATTTATTTTTGCTTAGACACATTTTGTTGAAATGACCCAGAGCAGCTGTGTCACTGCTGAATTTGGCCTTCAGTCATTTGCTGTGTTTTAACCCTCTGAGTTTTGCTTTACATCAAGATGGGGACAACGGGAAGATGTTGCCACTTGGAGATTTGTGTCTTTTAGCAGGAGTTAGAACATTGTTAGCTTCGTATTTAGTTCTTGTCCCGAACGACTGCCGTAACCTGTCCAAGTTCTTCCAGATACCAGCATCCAGGGCAAATTATGTTCAAAGATTAAGCATCGTTTATAACACGGTTATAACTGAGGGCTCTCTGAATTTTGTCACCAGCGGGGCAAAGCTGGGAAATCAGTCAGATCGTTTCAATTTAAGAACGCGGACGACGTAGCAGCGAGAGAAGCCCCCAGCGGTTAGTGTGGGTGGAGTTTGATTTGCTGTTAGGTGGTTAGATTCTGCTTAGAGGTTTCTTAGCTTAAATCTCTCTCCATGTCCTTATCAAAGCAACAAACAGCTTTAACCCTTTGAGCTTAGCAATGTCCTCTAATCCCCATTCATTATCTAATCTAGTTACAAACAGCATCTTCCAGAGCCACTTTTCCTCTTCAGTCCGTGACGTGTGTAAGACGTTCCTTTAAGAATCCCATAATATTAACAAATAAAAGACCTTGCAGATTTTTACCCCCCAAAATGCACCCAAAAATGATCAAAGCCTGCACTTGAGATTTAATGGGTGTTTATTTGTTTATTTCTCCTGCCTACTTTCTGCAAAAGCTCTCATCAAAATGATTGGATACAGGCTCATATCAAACTATAGAAGAAAGAGAATAATAGATTCAGTTTAATGCTCAGTCTCTTTAGAGTTTCATAGCATGCACAAATCATTTCATAAGTGGGTAAGTCATTTTTTATTGATCCACTTTTTCATTCAACTTTCATCTCCCAAGCCTTTTTAATTCTGATTTGTGTCCTAACTAACCTCAGCAAAAGTGCATTCCCCGGCATGTCAGAGGAGAGCACAGAAGTCAGTTTTCCTCGAACTAGAAATGAATGCAAGGATTGTTTTGTTTCCATGAAATAAATATGCAAGCACTTCATTTATCTTGTTTGTCTGTCACATGAATACTTCATTTAGCTCTCGCAGACAAATTTCATCTTCTGAATTCATGCGTGCATGTTTTATCGTTCACAATTCCATTTCAGGAACCCCCCTAAAGGTATCTGGCCTCAAAAGCTTAATTCATGATAATTGCAATACATCTCTTATGCAAATAGTGAAGCTATTGCAGATGTTACTGTAAAGTCTTAGATTCTTATCCTTGTACTGTTTTTTTTAATAGTTTGCTAGAGTTCTGTGTGCGCTAGTTACCAATAAAAAAATTTGTCTTTGAAGTAGAAACTCGACTTCTTCTTCTTTCTTTTAAAAAAAATAAGAATCAACCACCTTCAGCAGCACAAACACGCGGCACAAGACAGAGAGGTTGGGACATTCAGCACTCAAAGGGTTAAAGAATTGTCACTTTCATGGCATCGCATTACAAACTTGTGGCTCAAGTTCTGTGTAACGTTGGGCGAGAAATGGAGCCCACACGCTGAACAAACACAACAGTCCCTTTAACTTTTAGTGACTTTCATGGGGATTCTTTTCCTTGAGGATCCACTGATAGTCATTCTTTTCTTTTTGTTCTGTTTTCATGAGTGATTAGTCAGTACAAGTTCACATTCAGCCAACAAAAGACACATGAAAGAAGCAAACGGATTCACTAGGTTGTTTACATGTGGTCAGGTTATTACGGGGTTATGTTGGGTTATTCGGGAGTTATTTCTCTGAAGAGATGCAGCCCCAGTTTAAGGTGCTTTGGATAAGGTCCTTTTGATATCTCCAAATCAATACTTCAGAGGAACAAAAACTTATAGAAGGTAATTGTTTTTTGGAATGACAATTTTTTGTCACAGTGAACAGCTTTAACTGACAACTAGATATAAAACTGAGAGGAAAAGAAAATATCTTCTGACAATACCTCATTTGCAGCGTGGCTTCCCATCACTGGAGATAAAGAAAAACTTCAAAAGAATTAGCTAATTATATATCAGTCAGTCATTTGCAGGCTTTTAAAGTCTGCACTGGGTTATAATGGACCCACAGTCGTGTGAAAAAGCCAGATCGTATTCACCCTTGATGCTTGGCACTGCACCTCTTCCAGAGTGGTGGTTAACGGTAGGTTAGGCAGTTAGATCATTAGTGGAGTTAAAGGGATTTTATTACCTTTGTCGAGTAGCCACTCGTCAACTACCCGACCAAGTCGGTATGGGATTCTTTGTCTAGCAATAGCCAGGCGCTCATTATCAAAGTTCCCTTTAAGAAATTTGGAGAAGACAAATTAAGAAAAGGTTACACAAATCTGGAAGTTGAAAGGTTAGAGGTTAGAAGGGCAACATGGCAAATGTTTAGCAAGTTATGTACTTTAAATCAGCTTTAGTTAGGACAGGAAGAACTTGTGGATGTGTTTTCGGGCTGGTTTGTTTGGTTAGACAAGTTAACAGCATTCTAGTTACCTTGAATTTTAAATGATTTTTTTAAATGCACTAACAAGTTAAACAGATTTATGAATTATTTAGATATAGTATGATTACATTTGTGGAAGTGCTAAATTATAATAGCTGTCACAGAGTCACAGAATCAGCAGTCAGTAAACAACACAGTTATTACAGTATGAAATAATAAAGCAGAAAAAAAGATTTCCCATTGTTATTTCACATGAGCATGACATAATCACAGAGAATTAAAACACATTTCATGGTTGTTCCAAGGAAGACATATTTAAGTTCCTGCCGCACACAAAGAATTGCTGATGAGCAAACCTCCACCTGCCCAACAGGATGGCATTCTGCCTGTGGAGCATCACTTCACTTTACATCCAGTTACTCCACTCTGACTAAAGAGAAAAAAGATTTATGAAACTGTCAGCACTGAGTTTTTCTCAGGTTTTTTTCTTCCTTCTTATGCATTAATGGAGCACTTCTCAGTGGCACTTGGCAATTAGCATCACTTCATCAACGTGTCAAAGAAGTTTCATTGCTGCTGTGCAAACTTATTATCCCTCACTTCACTTCAATCAACCTCGGGGTCATACGCTGTACCTCTTATAGCACTGTCAACAGAGACAGAGCTGGAATTAGGGAAGACGAGGGCTGATGTGACCAGACTTGGGGTTTTAATAAAGTCTAATGCGGTGGTAAAGTCAGAGGATTAATTAGGAGTTTTATGTACGTCAAACAGCAGCCTTTGCCAAAAACCTGAGAGCTATGCTAGCTAAAATGAGGTCAGGGAATCCCCTGGTGTCCTAGCAGAGGGATAAAGTTCTGCGAGTGGTACCAAAAAATGAGAATCACTAAAGTGTATATATATATATATATATATATA